TGAAAGAGTCCCTAACTAGGTTTTGAAACATAGGGTAGCTGCACCACATTGATTCAAACCTGAAGGGTTTATTGAGGGGACTAGGACTGTTATTGCTTAGATTGACAAGCATGAGGCAGTAATCAGACTGGGTCCTAGGAAGATGAGTAATATTTGCTTCAGGGTACTCATTTATCCAATGGTTATTAGCAAAACATCTGTCAATTCTTTCTAATATTAGATAGGTCCTATTTTTGTACCTCTTGTTAGACCAAGTATACTTTCTACCTTTAAACCCTGGGTCTATAAGCTGACAGTTGTTAATACAATTCCAGAAAGAGTTGCTTCTGTGGGTGTTTATAGGGTTTCCCCCAAATTTGTCTTCTGCTTTAAGAACTTCATTGAAGTCCCCACCCACAAACCAACTTCCTTTGTGTGTTTTTGAGATATCAACAAGACTATCCCAGAGGCCTCTTCTATCCTCAAAGTGGTTACTGGCATAGATTGTAGAAAAACATTAGGGTGGGTTTGAGGGTAATACCTTGACCATGGCATGGATACCCTGAGAGTTGAGAGCTACCTCATCAACTTGGAGGGAATTATCCCTTCACATAATCAATATACCTCCAGAATGGCCAATAGTAGGGAACTGAATGTGCATGTCGAAGTGAAGCTCTTTAGTAAGCTTTTTGTGGTCTGCCATTTTGGTCTCCAGGAGAACCAACATCATAGGCTTGTGCATTTTGACCATTTTTGAGCAGTGCCTCTTAAACTCTGCACTGTTTGACCCTATAACATTCCATATTATGAAATTCATTAGAGGGTTCAGTGTTGGAGGGCTGATGCTCGTTGATGTTTTCTCCCTTCCCTAGGGTTGCATGCATCTCTTCCCCTGTGTTGAGATTGTTAGGATCTCATCATTGGAGTTAGGGTCAGAAGGGGTTTGAGAGTACCTTGGTTCAGGTGATATGAGAAATCCAATCCGCAACGAACTAGGTTCTTTGGGCAAAGTAGGATCAATGTCTCGCTGTGGTCCACGCTGAATTCCACAACCCTTACTGCTTCCAACCACAGTGAGTCCACCCTCACTAGATTGTCGATTGGGGTTGCTTCGTCAATTGGCGCCTCGTTGTTCCTCAGTAGCTCTAGAGCTGTTGAAATTCCTTTGGAGATGTTCCCCATAGGCGATTGATGTTGCCTCTCCTAGGGTGATTGTTGTTGCTTCTCCTGCGCTGAAGGTGAAATTTTTTGGGTTGACTCCGGCTGGATTATTTTGAACTGGAGGGTTGCATATGGATCCTCTATTGTTAGGTCTGGGAAGAATATGATACTATTGAAAATCTGCTGAATCTTGTCTTAGATAGATGAGTCGATGTTGTTGTTCATGTTGGCTGGGTGGGTCTGCTCCATGACTGACTGCCACATTTGTGCTCCAAGCATCCCCAAACCCCTGTGTAGGGCTTATGCTGTTACCCTTGCCAAATGGGCTGGGTTCTGAATGATTAGAGAGATCTGTTGCTCGGCCAGCTAAAAATTGTAATTTAGGGCTTGTCCATGGAGTGCCTGCTCCAGCCATGATGATGGTAGGTGGTCCAGTGGTGGCGGGGTGAAGGTTAGGAATACTGGGGGTTTAGGGTTTGGTTCCATTTTGGGTTTCTTTTTCCTATCCATTTTTGGGTTGGTAATAAAAGATGGAGTAGTGGGGTAATCAAACGTTTTTGGCGGTTATGAATTTGGATCGGTAAGCATGCTTATTGCTTTGGGGTTTGTGTTTGATACACTGGGAATAAGGGTATTTTGATATCCGGTTAAGTTGATGGGTTCTGTCAAATCACTGAAGATTTCGTGATTATATTGCTTTGGCTCTTGGTCATTCATGGAGAGATTTCCTCCAGTTGGTGTTGGTAGGGGAGACGTAATGTTGTAGTGGTTATCATTGTGGTCTACCATGGGGTCTATTTTCCCAGAGGTGTGGGGTGGGCCAGTCTGCCTTTTTTGGTTTTCCTCTGGGCTTTTGGGCTTGGTTGACTTTGTTTGTGGAATAGTGTCTGTTTGGTTTGGGGTCCGTAGTTGCCTTTGTTTGTGTCGTGGGCCCATGTCTGTAGTTTGTGTGCATTTAGGCATTCCCTGGGTCCGCTTTTCGTTTGAAACTTGTGTTGGGCCTTTCTCTTGTGGGCTGCCCAATTGTATTTTGTTATCCAATGTGTGATCCCTTTGTGGAAGTGGGTTGGATCCAGTCCATCTCCTGTAATGTATTAGATTTATTGGTGTATCGAAAAGTTTGAGTATCAAGAAACTTACCGGATGTAGCATCGAACATTTTCACTTTGATGTCTTCTGGATTTGTTGATGGTTTATTCTTTCTAATCTTGTTCGTTTCTTCATTTTGCTTTGTGTTGTACTCTTTTTACGCCTTTTGGGGAATGAGACCACTTTCCATTCTTTTTCTTCCTCATTGTTTGGTGTATGACCTGAAACATTGTTTTGCTTAGTATTTGAGCACTCTGGGCTGTCTTGAGTTTATGGTTGTTGTTGTTTTTGTTTGTGTAGGCATCCTTTCAAGATGTGACATATCCTTCCACAACCAGTGCATCGTACATTTTCTCCTTCATAGAGCACCAACTGTTTATGGTCCTTTATTATGACTGAGGTAGCAACTAGTGCTTCCAAGGGTACCTGTATGCATATTCTTGCATTCCTTCCTCTGAGAGTGGCTGAAGTGCACATATAAATTTTTAGGAGTTTTCCTAGTTTCCTGCCCACTTTTTCTAGGACTTCCTTGTCATAGAACTCGATGGGTAGTTGTGGTAGTCTTACCCAAATTGCAGTGAAGGATAAAGTTACTTCTTGTGGGACGAATTTGGGTTCTCATCTTCTTACTGAGAGGAAATTTCCTGATATGAACCATGATCCTTTTTGTATAGCTTTCACTAGGTTCTCCTCTTTACCAAATTTGACTATGAAAAAAATCCCATTTTAGGTCAATCAAGATCAATTGTTCGGATGGGTTCCATAAATCAACTAGTTTAGATCGGAGGAGATAGTGTGACATTTTTTTCCCAAATAGCTTTATGATAACTGAGTAACGCCATAGTTTATATAGCCTGTTTTTATCCTCTTGAGAGAGTAGTATAAGACCTATTGTTTCCTTACCTTTTTCTTGTGTTAAGGTGGATTGGAGTTCTGTAGTGAAGTAATCCGCTTGTGTAGTATTTTGCTTATCAAATAGCATTTCCTTGTAGGAGTGGGATTGGGTTGCATCTTCTTCCATGACAGTGTCGTCCGGTGGTTCCAGTGGTATGATAGGTGATTTGGGTGGGTTTTCCATTGGTTGTTTGTAGTGATGGATGAGAGTTTCTCTCACTAGATTTTTTTGATGATTAGATCCCGGTAGGGTGGGGTTTTCCCACTTTATCAATTGCACCACTATATTTTGCTGGGGTCCTATTACCCCTTGTATTTGTTAGAAGTATAATAAGTACAAAATATAAACCTTTCCTGGCTAATCCCCCGGAATTAACCTTTCCAGGCTAATCCCAGTTTCAAAAGAAAATATGTAAATCACACACCAATCATTGCTTGCCGTGTGTAAAATTTATTTTTAATCAATTTACCTTTTTATTTGTTTTTTGGGTCTTATTTTATTCTTTTTCTCTTATTCCTTTCTCTTCATCTCTCTTTCTTTTCTTCACCATTTTCTCCTACTTATAAACGGTGGAGATGAGTTAGCAAAAAGATGACATCACTGGAATCACCAGTTTTCCGCTGAGAAACATTATAAGAAAAAAGGGGGAAAAAGAAAAAAAGAAAAGAAAAGGAAAGAAGAAAAGAAGTAAAAAAAGGAGACAACATACAAAACAAGTTTTGTTTCCTGCCATCATTAATTTTTCCGGCAAGTAATATTTCAAAGGAAGACAAATGTAAAAATGAAAAAGAAAAAAAAAGAAAAGACATTAATAGAAAAGGATAGAAAAAAAAGAAAGAAGAAAAGAAAATGGCGGATGGGTGTAAAAATGGCGGATGGAGTAATAAGGGGAAAGTAAACAAGAAAGAGAATAGAAGAAAAGAAAAGAAAAAGAAGAAAAAAAAATGAAAAAAATAATTTTTTAGAGATTCCATGCGCGGTTTATCACGTGAAAATCAAAGCAAGTGCCATCTCAGCTCAAAAGATGATATTTATTAAACTTCTAACAAATATATGGGGTAATAGAACTCCCGCATAGTATGAAGTTACAACTGGTAAAGTGGTAAAACTTCAATGGGGTAATTATATATTATGCCTTTTTAGGCATATGATAATACTCCATCCGCTTCAAAATAAGTGATTTTTTGGCCCTTTTTTTGTCCAAAATAAGTGATTTTTTCAGATTTCAAGAATGAATGAATTATTTTTTTCCTACATTGCCTTTGGAGTAAATAGTGTTGGAGTATGTGTTAGGAGTATTTATGTGAAAAGATAACAAAGGTTAAAATGATCAATCTAATTAATGCTAAAAGATAAATTTCTTAATCTGTTTAAAAATAACTAATAAATCACTTATTTTGGACCGGAGGGAGTAACTCTTATCATTATGCAAAATCTAAAAGTACGTCGAAGTACTAAAAAAAATTCCTTTAACTATATTCCTACCATATCAAGTTTAAAATCTAAAATCTTAGGTAAAGATAATATACTAGTCGGTTGTGATTTTAACATTAAAAATTCCTTAGGGGTCCATTACGTTCAATTTCTACCACTACTTGACTTCTTCAACATCACAAAACCACAAAAAAAGCACAAAACTCATCTACAATCGGAATCCCCTACACCTACACCCCTCACCTATCATTAATTACCACGTGTCACAATTACTACAAAATTTACGTATAATGACAAAAATACCCTTGTTATTACACGTGTCAAAAACCAATAAGCCAAACGTTAAACCCTTTGCATTTTACTCGTTAAATCCAGTGTGACGCGGAACAGGATAGGACGTATATATGCGTTTCAGCTTGTAGGGTTTTAAGCTTCTTTTTAGCTCCTCTCTTCTCTCTTTCTCATAGCCGAAAACTCAACCCCTCTTCTCTTTGTTTAGTGAATTTCAGCGGAAAAAACCCTAATTTGATTATATATAATAGCTAAATATTCTCGTAAAAAGGCTTGAGTTTGATTAATTTTCATGTAAAAAGTGAGAAGAGAGGGGTTTAATGGGTGAGGCTACAGCTACAATGAATCAGATGGAGGAAAATTTGGGTACACAGATATCTGGGCTTGTCGGGTCGGAGCCGGGTACGGATACGTCGTCGCTGTTTCACCGGAGGATTGAGTTTCATTTGGCGAGAAAGCCTTTTAGTGGGTTTATAAATAATGGTGGGTTTCAGCTGGAAACGCTGAACCCGAACTCAGAGAAAACGGGTAAAGATAACGGGTTGGTTGTTGGGGGCGGGAAAAAGGTCGGTGATGCTCAGATGGAAAGTAATGGGTTGGATCCAGAAGTGAGCTTCGGTATTGCCTTCAGAAAGATTATGAGAATTGTGAGTTTCTCATTACTCTGTGTGTGTGTATGTTATTTGCTTATAATAGTTTTAGGATATATTTCGTTCCCGTTTATGTGACTCTATTTCCTATGTCACAGTTTATGTGACTCTATTTCCTATGTTACAGTTTATGTTACACTATTTCCTATGTCACAGTTTATGTTACACTATTTCCTATGTCACAGTTTATGGGACACTATTTCCTATTATCACATAAATTGAAATGAGGGAGTAATAGAAATCTTGGATTTTGATATTTGGGTTGTCGTTAATATTTGATACTCGTTTTTGCTTTTCTTTTGTTGTTGTCTTGTTAAGCTTAATTTTTGGGGATTCTGAATTTAATTTTGATGTTTAGCTTTAAAAGCCTCATCCTTTTTTCCCCTTGTTTTCTCATTTTTTTCATTTTGGGTTTTTACTAGCTCCGAGTATGTTTGCCATTATTAGTGGTCCTCTGAATTTGCACTATTTTCTTTATTCATTTTAGGGTAAAGGTCCAAATTTGCCATTGTACTATCCAAATTGCTCGATTTTGCCTTCAGTTACACTTTTGGTCCATTCATACACCTGCCTTTACCTAATAGTTTTGTCACCATTAACAGAGCTCCAATGTGAAATGGGTATACTCTATGTGTCCAAATTCTACGAGAATGAGGATCCAAATTTACCCTCCAACTTTTGACTACGGCTACGATTACCCTCACGCTGGAGCTCTGATAGAAGTCAAGGACAAAAAATGAGACATTTTTCTAGCGATGAGGTAATATTAGACCAAAAGTTTAAAGGAGGGCAAATTTGCTCAAATTTGGATGGTACAAGGGAACATTTGATCATTTTCCCTTCATTTTAAGTAACTCAAAATCTAGTTGTTATATCAACAGCTTGGAGTATTGGTTTTTGGAAGGATATGGTCTTCTTCTTTTTTTTGTCACACTTATTTTGATTTCAGTACTAATATTTCAAGTACTTCACATGACTATATTAGGCTGATTTTGGCACATTATTGTGTGGTTGCCATATAGTCTAATTGCTCCTTTTTACCTGGAAGATTGCCGTATTTGTGAGAAGATTGAGTCGGAATTTGGATTTGCTTGGCTGGACAAGCTATTGATGGTTTCTCCTTTATAATGCCTTCCCATCCATTATGACTCTGTACCTTTACATATTCACCTTCCTGTGCATAATATTCTGAAGGACTTAGGGGACATAACAATGGCTAGTAATAACACTGCCCCACCAATTTTTTTAAGGTTTTGGATTGAACGCCCAATATCCTTTCACATGTTATCAAAGCCAACTTTTTATAGTACATTCTCACAATCATAAATCTGCATTAAACTCCACATGTGAACCCCAAAGAATCAGTTACATGTCCGTGAAGTGTTGAATGTAGATGTCCCACATTCCTTGCAGTTCCGTTTTCACTCTGAAAATGAATGGATGTACTTGTCTTACAATATGGCCTAATTGAATATTGAATTATTCACAATAAACAAAAGAGCCAATTAGCAGAGCAAGTGTGTCAATAAACAATGATGAAAACTTGCATTGAAGGTTGGCAATATCAATAAGCGATTCTCCGTGCCTTTCAAATAATTCTTATTTTGATTATGGCCTCGAACAAATTGCTACATTTATTACATTTACTAAAACTGTTATGGCCTAATTTGCGTGATGTTTAATCATGTAATTTTAATACTCAAGTAGCCCAAGATGGTAGCTGATGGCTTGTGAGGAACTTTTAGATTCCTCTTTGTTCTCTGGTGGCTCTTAAGTGGGTTTTGGAATTTGATATTGAGCTTTTTCCGAACAAAATGAACTATTTTATGCTTTACCTTTTCCTCATTTATTTTTTGAGTTGAAAAATCTTGCTGACCAAAGATGCACCTGATGAATCACTTTGCACTTGGAGACAATTTTGTTTACAAGTCTCCATGCTGCTTAATTGTGGGACCCATTGTCTTTGTCACAGGGAGCGGGCTTGCAAAATCTGGGGAACACCTGCTTCCTCAATTCTGTATTACAGTGCCTGACATACACTGAGCCTTTGGCAGCATACTTGGAAAGTGGGAAGCATCAAAATTCCTGTGAGTCACTCTACTGTGTGTGCGTGTTTGTTTTTCAGCAGGCTTAGACATCATGACCTCCTTAGATGAGGAGGCTGTATTACTTTGTATCCAGTGTCTGACTTATCTTTACAGGAAGATTGTTTGCTGATAAATTGCATGTATGTGTGCTGTCGGGACCTCTTCTTAGATCTTGGGGCCCGTTGCTGAAATTAATTGGATTTGACTGGATACATGTCATTTTGTTATTTAATACCTCAAAGCTTTCTCTTTCACCAGATTAATTGGTACCAAATGCACTCAAAACAAGTCAACCGTGTTTGTTAAAAATGTCTTACCCTACCTCTTAAAACAGTACTGTAAAAACTAATTGAAACTGGACAAGAGATGAGTTTAATGTGTGTACTGCACGTGAAGAAGTTTAAGCTTTAGTTGGAGCGGAGCTGTTGAATAATGCCTTGCAGATGTATATTTTGAGATGCAGAGAGCCTCAACGTAAACTTCATGCTGCTGTCTTTTAATTATATCCAAACCAAGCCTAGTGGCTATTACAGACTTGTACATCTAAGGGCTGTGTGTCTAAATTCATTTAAAGGAAATGGACTTTTTCTGGTCATTCATTCTGATACTTGGTAGGCGAGATGATTGATTGATTGATAGCTGTATACCAAGAACGGACTAGTGGTAACTACAAGAAAAGTCATTCATGCAAATTGATTGATGTATATTTTGAGATGCAGAGAACCTCAGCTTAATTCAAGTAAAACTCATGCTGTCTATTAACTATATCCACTGCGAAGCCTAGTGGCTATTACAGACTCATAAATATATACATGCTAAGGGCTGTGTGTCTAAATTCATTTAAAGGATATGGACTTTTTCTGGTCATTCATTCTGATACTTGGTATGCGAGATGATTGATTGATTGATAGTTGTAAATCAAGAATGGACTAGTGGTCATTACAATATTATGCAGATAAGCTTTTGCATTTTTTGCACCTTGTATAGAAATGAATATATGAGCGAGTATATGAGCTGGTTCACATAATCTAAACTTCAGTTTCTTCAAATCTATTTTTCCTGGGATTCTTAATTTATTCAGCATATATGTTTGTTAACTCGTGTTATATTTGTTCTTCTGAAGGTTGTTTGGCTGGATCAGACATATCTAGTTTTACTGGGATCTTCAGCGTATATGTTTGTTAACTTGTGTTTTATTGTTCTATTGAAGGTCGTATGGCTGGGTTTTGTGCTCTATGTGCCATCCAAAAACACGTGAGTCGTGCTTTGCAAGCAACTGGGAAAATACTGGCACCCAAGGATCTTGTGTCAAACTTGCGATGTATCCTATCGATTCCCCGTAGTGTATTAGTTATTAGGTTCTGACTTTCACTTTTACTCTGCCAATTTTAAGTTGTTCTTCCTCTGGCCATCATTCCCTTTTTCTTCCGATACTTAATTTACCTCTTTCTTGTTTGTTTTTTTTCGTTTCTTACCTTTCAAGACAAGACTAGTGCAATTTCAGTCATGTTCTGAAGTTTTTTCTTTTGGTTAGTATTTGCTGAGTTATCATGTAAGTATGATGTCCAATATTTTTCAAAGTCTGGTGGCTTGACTTTTTTTGTTCTTTTTTCGTTCACACTTTTTTTAGTCAGGGAATTAAAAAAAGAGTACGATAAAGATTTCCTTTTGTCAGAAGGCTGGCAACAGGATTCTTGCTTCTCTATCCTAGAGATTTGTACCCAGTATTACGCTCCAGGATATACCTGTTTTTCCTTCTTTTTCCACATTTGAAGGCTTTTAGACATATATCAAAGTTAAATCCTTAATTATGTGTTAGGCATATCACGGAATTTTCGAAATGCTAGACAGGAGGATGCACATGAATATATGGTGAATCTGCTTGAGTCAATGCATAAATGTTGCTTACCTTCAGGAGTGCCAAGTGAATCTCCCAGTGCTTATGACAAAAGTTTGGTCCATAAGATATTTGGTGGGCGCCTTCGCAGTCAGGTACATCTTCAGTTGCTCTTCTGTTAGTATGCTAGACCTAGTAATTTTTGGGAAGAGTTCAGAAATTTTTTACTTCCCGTGGCTTTGTCCAGTTGTCCCAACAAAAAAAAGCCTTTCTGTGCTGGACGGGTGGACATTTCCTTGATTCCTTTTCCAACTCTTTGACTCCTCCAATTGTATCTTTCCAAATGATCTGCAGGTGCAGTGCATGCAGTGTAACTTTTGCTCCGACAAGTTTGATCCGTTTCTGGATTTAAGTCTAGAAATTTTAAAGGCAGATTCACTACAGAGAGCACTTCAGCATTTCACTGCCCGAGAGCTATTAGATGGTGGTCAGAGGCAGTACCAATGTCAGCAGTGCAAACAGAAAGTGAAGGCTACCAAGCGGCTAACAATTGACAAGGCACCTCATGTCCTAACCATCCACTTGAAGCGATTTGGTTCACATGTCCCTGGGCAAAAGATCGATAAAAAGATTCACTATGGGCCTACTTTAGACTTGAAGCATTTTGTATCTGATACCTATGTAAGTGTTAGTTTTTCCTCGTAGTCAGGAACACCTTTACCTTCTTTATTTCAGATCTAATATTTGTCATGTCAATGTGGTCATTTCATATATTTTGTGGTTTGATTGATCTCCAAATAAGCAAATTAGCAGCATATAAAATGGGATGAGGAAATTGATGTGAATGTTCTGGCAAGTTGATTTAGGATGAATGTGAACCTTCCACAATTATTATTTCAAAGCCAAGGGATCATTCAATTGTATGTCAAGTAGTTGAGAAGGTGTTTTCTCATCAACATTGCTGATATTCTTGTGGGATGGTAGTTGTTTAAGACTTGACCGATGAACCGTTTTTTTGAACATAACAAATAGTGGAAGTGATTTGAGTAGGCTGAATCTGCATGTGATCTGTGGTGCTTGGTTTACTTCCTATTCTCCTGCTTTGTCACATCTGCGATACGTTTTGGTATTTCATTTATTTCTTGAATTCCTTGTATTTTTGGGAACTCATGGTTCCTTCTAATTTTGCAGGGTGGTGAATCGAAGTACACTCTCTATGGTGTGCTGGTTCATGCAGGTTGGAGCACCCATTCTGGTCATTATTATTGCTTTGTTCGCACTTCAAGTGGAAATTGGTACTCCCTTGATGACAATCAGGTATTTACATTTTGTTTTCTGTCTTTTTTTTGGAGAAGGAATTTTGTTTTCTGTCTTTTCTCCTGGGCATGTAACTGCTCATACTTTTCATTACTTTTGGGATACACTTAATCTAGAAAATTCATTGTGAAACCATGTTAAATTCCTGTTTTCTTCTTCCCTTTATGGTAGCATATAGTCCTTAGGGGTTACAGCTAGCAAAAGGCAACGATGACACTAAAGTATGATCTCCAAGTAAACTTTCCACATAACTCATTCAACTCTTTGGCTTTTAAATGTTTCATCACTTCATGATGTTTAATTTTTGTGGTCTTTTAAAAACTTAAGCAAATGGTTTGTCGTAATGTATTTTGATTGTTGTAAGGAGTAGCTTCTGAATATTCCTACTTTTCTACATACTTATAGGTTGTTCAAGTGAGTGAGAGAAAGGTGTTGGAGCAGAAGGCATACATGTTGTTCTATGTTCGGGATAGGAAATCTCCTGTGCCTAAGAAGTCTGTGGATGTTGCCCGCAATGACAGTGTGACTACTAATGGCATAGGAAACAAAATGTACTCTAATCACAGCCAGAGATTTAAGGATACTGTTCAAAATGGAATTCATGTGAAGAATGTGGATTCCTTTTCTGGCGCAAAAGATCAAAGGGAAACATTAAGTTCTGAAGTTTCAAAGGAAACTTCGACAAAGGGTCTGGCACCCCCAAAGGTTAATGGTGTAGTAACTAATGGATCCTCTTCTCTTGGAGGGGCTGTACAGCAAGAAAAGTCGAAAGTGGAAGAAGCAGGTGAAAGAGCAAATGAGTCATCTGTTGGAGACACAAGGGGTGGACCATGCTTGCTTAAAGCTAATCCAATTGCTCCAGTCTCCAATGGAATTCATAGACTTGAAAACAAGGGGGAGACAAGATGCGAAGACTCCAATCCACTACCTAATGGCAATGTCAAGGAGTTAACCTGCTCTGCTGCAATACCATTTAGCTCTAGCACCGTAAACAATGACAAAGATCCAAGTCTCCACAAGCAAGAAGAGTGCAGCAAGGGAAACACCAACTCTCGAGTGGTAATATAGATGAATTTTTTTCTGATTGTTGTGCTATGCTCCTCTCCTTTGTCATCTCTTCCTGCTTGCATGTGGTCTTTCGGATTTTTCTGTGGTCCTCTTTACTGTGGTTGGGGGGCATGGGTTACTGTTGCAATATTGTGCACTGAAATCAAGCACTGCCCTACTGCTCTAATAAAAAATTAGAACTTATTTAGTTGGCCTTAAAATACAATGATGACATTGTCCT